AACTTCACTGAGCCCAATATACCCTAGATCTTGCAAATTTTCCAGGGTATATAAAATGGAAATTGAAATTGTGAGTGACGCCAGGCCAAGACACATGAATGCCTGGGTACATTGCCTTTTCGGTGTGTATTTGTGGGTTGTTTCGCCTTCTTTCTGGTTTTCATATAAGTGTATGGCTATTCCGATTCCGAATCGGCGGCGGCGACACTTGGCAACAAGTTGAATGGCTCTCGCACAGCGCCCCAAAGGGGCTGTAACCCCCTGATAACGAGGGGACAGATCAATATATATATATATAATATATATGTAGACAAGACAGGTATATAGTGGGTAAATATATATATATATATATACCTTTGACTATATGGGTGTGCATAATACACGGGCGTGATGTTTGTCGAATCCGATCGCATCGGCAATCGGTCTTTGATGTGCGTCTGCCACAATATTTTTCATATTCTCCGCCGTCCCGACTTTCTCATGTTACCCCAGCTTGTTGTTTCTTCTCATTTTTGATGGATTCCGATCGGATTTGTGGGGCAAGAGGTGTGAACACGCCACAGAGATAACCTTTGATACGGTTTACTACAGTGTGTATGATTCAATTGGGTTAGGTCGGCGATTCAATGGATTGCAGATCGTGCAATGTATATGGATTTTGTGCAATACTAGGCATGTTTGAACTTCTCGTGATTTAAAATTAAGAAATTTAGTTGTTAAATTGGCAATTTTAAACTCAAATACCAGTTAAATGGCTCGAATACCTCTTAACTTGAGATCCTTAAACTGAAACTTTCTTTACTTCGAACTTTTCTTATAGAAAATCTATCATAGAGGGGTCATTATCTGTCCCGATCGTCACCAGCAATCTGATCGACCGATTCCCAGATATATATATGTACATATACATATATATAGAGATATGTACGCAAGTGCCCTGTATATAGATCTAGCATAGGAATGATTTATCGCTGATATCGCTGTTTGTTTGCATTGTACTTTTGTTTCGCTCTCGTGTCAGCTTTATATACAGACACATATATCGCCTTTTTTATCGACTTCCATTCCGCGAAATTGATAGACAAAGAAATAAAAATGGAGTCAATACGTATAGTCGTATTTATCTATAATTTCTTTTTGTTTTTTGTTTAATGGAGAGCTAGAGAGAGACAGAGAGAGACAGTGAGAGAGGTAAAGGGAAAGGCGAAGAAATTTTATAAATGTAATTGCACGTAATTGGATGCCCCCGCGTGTGTATTTCTCGGTTTCTGCTTCGTTTTTTGTTTATCGATTCCAACTTGGGCATACGAACAAGCCATTTATCGGTTATCATATACACATATATCATATGTCCCTCTATATATTCTTTTTTCTCTGCCCCTATCTGGCGACTGATACCGAATGGGAATGGCTATCGCCCAAAATATTAATTGTAATGACAGGTGAACACTGTAAACAAAACTATAGATACAAGAAACAAGAGAGAAAGGTGTCGGAAATCTATAAGTAAAGGCAGGATTTCCATTAGATCAGTTTGTAGCAGTTAAAAGATTCGTTTGTTTTATTTTGGGATATAAAATATATCATTTATATCCATTCAGCAGATAATTAAAACAAGTTTAAATATAATTAATAGAAAAAAACAAAAATAAAATCCTTATGTTAAGTTGTGTAGAGACATCTGTGGGCTAAATCTTGCACTAAGGTGACCTTACATGCGATAAACGGTCTTATACCCTTCATTTTGTAATAAATGGCAAAATATTGGCCTGAATTAAACATTTTTGAATAAAACGAAAGTTTTTGGATTGTCATGAGTTTAGCAGTTTGTGGTTTGTGCGCATTAGAAGGGGCATCGTCTGGCAAACTTGTGCTGCACTGGCATCTCTATCTGCATAAGCATGCATGTCTTTCCAACAATTATAGTAACCTAGACGGATTCGAAAACAAACTAAAACTCTCTAGAATCAGAATTCTGAATACCAATCTTAATCTTTTATCCTTCTTGAGATCTTAGCGTTCATATGGACAAACGGACATGGCTAAATCGACACAGATTTTGATCCTGATCAAGTATATATATACTTTATAGGGTAGAAATAACTTTCATTTACCTGTTCCATATTTTACAACGAATATAGTATAACCTTTTTTCTTCATGAATACGTGTTTTCCTTTTTGGAAAAGTTATATAAACTCAGAGTTTGTATCCCTTTTACTTAATGTTCTACTTAAACGAATGAAGAAAACGTTCGACAAATAACTATATGTTAGACCCTAGTGCAATACATATATGTTCTTAAGGTTAAATATGTAATAACTATACAAACATAATCTCAAATATTAAACTTATCGAGGTTTCTGGGAATTTTAAATAAATTTTAAAGGCAGTTTGTAAGGCAGTATCAGGCTCAGTTTTCTTGAAGGAAGCTTTAAAAAGGAATAACTAAAAGTATAGTTTAAAAAAATCATATTTAATATATAAAAATATATAAGAAGATATATAAAAAAACTTTTTAATACCGAAAACTTTATAAATTTGTTAATATTATCAAAAGAAAATAAGAGAAACGAAACAAATTATTAATGAATTCTTTAAAGGTAAATGAAGAGAAGCAAGCCAATAAGGAAAACTATACTTTAAATAAATATAATATTATTACCGAACAATAAAAGAATAAAATATCAGAAAGAATAAAAAAAAAAAAGATGATATCACGACAGGAAAAGACTCGGATTCGGCTTGAAGCTTTTTATTGAGTATACTTAACAATGTTGTTGCTGCCTTTTACTTGGCTTCGTGTGATAACAATTAACTTGATTGTTTTGCACTACAAGCGGCCGGGAATTGAAATCGAATTTAACTGAAAATAAAGCTGAGAAAAACGGGTAAAATACAGTGAGACAAAGAAGATAAAAAGCGAGTAGAATAATAAAAAAAAAAAAATCAAGATTAAAGACAGAACATGCGTGTAATGAGCCAAGCAGCGGTAAAAGTATTAAAACGCTGTCCAACAACGCCAAGAAAACAAGAACAAGCCGCAGAATTACATCAATCAAAGTTAAGTTTTTTTTTGTTTTGTTTTATTTTTTGATGGTTTTTTGTGGGCGTTTCGACTGCTGGAACACGACGAAAATAAAACAACAAATCGAAAAACGAAACAAGATGATGTTAAGAAAGAGAGAATGTTGTTAACGAATCAAAAGTATAAAAAACATAATATTCTGCAGTATAAAATATATAATTATAATACTAATCTTCTGGCCATGAGGCAAACTCTCCATTTCCATTTCCATTCCCATTATTTGTGGCACAAACAATATCATTGTGTTTTGGCTATCGGGCAACCTTCGGTTGGATTATCGGTACCATTGCTGCTGATAAGTTGATATAGGTCGTTATATGATGTTTTTCAATTAAAATGAGGGACTGACTGGCCAAGGTCTACTAACAGTAGCCAAAACCGACTCTTACAATCATTCACTTTGGTTTGTTAGCTTTTTAGTTTGTTATTTTTTACGATTCGCCATCAAAAAGCTTAACACATTTTCAGTAATCTGCTGGGGAATCGGTTTATCTCTGCCTATCTATCGCCTTGAGTGACTTGACACACTCGAGTCGAGTTCCGCCCCCCCCGCCCGCTTTTGCGAAAAGAAACTACTTTGACAATGCAATTACAATGGAGCAATTATAGCGGAGACTAGTATCTGAACAATCTGTGTTTCTCTGTCTATCTGTTGGCTGATAATTACATGTGTTTTGGCTCAAATTATTATGGCGGCTGTCGTTTTTTTTTTTTTTTTTTTTTTGCCTTCTTTATGTTGTTTAATTACGTTCAATGAGATAAACTTGGCAAAAATATATACTGCAAATCATATTGCCTATTAAAAATCCTCTCAGGGACACTTCCCTTTGGTTCTTTGATCTCTGACCTTATCGCCTGTGCTGGCTAATTAAACGCAACTCCACGGGTCAGCGTTTTTTGCTGCTCACAAAACAATAACCAAATCGCAGGGGGGGCAGCCACATTCGAACTCTTTGGACTCCCAACTAATTAAGAAGTTGAATTCGAGAGATGAGGTTATAAAGAATTCTTGCTATTAGATACCTAGAAACAAGGTCAAAATTATAGATTCTTTCTTAACGAATACAACGCAGTTAACTGGCTTAATAATAACAACTTATTTAGCAACTTAGCTAGTCTAAACTTAAACATTGCAGTAAGAACTTTAAGTGAACAATAACTTTTATTGATAGCCCCGCCCTCAAAGCGATAACTTTGTGGGCAAACAAAAATGTCAAAGAAAGGCTAAATGAAAAGGGGGGCGTTCACCTAGCCTCCTCCCCCCGTTGAAAATGGGTTTTTCAGTTTTAATACCTTTTTTTTAGTTTTAGTTTTAGTCCCAGCCGAGTTGAATGTGTTTTAGTTTTATTTTTGAAGAAAGAGGGGCAATAAACGGCATTATATCATCATCGCAGTGTTGATTATTATGATCGACCCAAAGTCATCGCATATATGCCCAAGTACAGTTAGTTAAGTGCTTTTTACTGCCAGTCTGAACTGGAAGAAGAAACAAAAAAAAAAAACACAAAGGCTTCGAGACACAAAAAGCGAGGAAAAACAAAACAAAAACCTCTTTCGGCTTTAATTACAATGCATAAAAAATACAGTAAAAACCCGAAAACAGATTCAACTATAGCGTTTTGTGTGTTGGACATTGACCGTCAAATGAGAAGTCTGAAAAGTGTAACACGCCTCGTCGCATTTTAACCCTTCTCGGTTGGTCTCTCGCTCTCCCGTAAACCGAAACTATTGGGTTAAGAGTGAGTCAGTGGCAGGAACATTTGATGGTTAAGGCCATATTTAGCTTATAGTATAGTTTTTTAACAACTTCTTTTAAGAGATCTCTTCTCTGCTTAACAAAACACACAACATTACCAATTTTAAGCTTAAAGTTACCACAGAATGAAAACTAACTTTTCCTTAATTTCCTTACAGATGATTTCCGTTTACCAACCGATCGATCAGCAAGAACAATCCTTAGCAGTACTATGGTAATATCGATCGGTACGATGGGCCTCGTGCCGCAGCCACATCGAAAATTTGCAACGTACCGCTGGCTGTAAGGGAAAATCCCCCTCCCCTCAAAAAAAAAAAAAAAGAAGAAGAAGAAGTAAAACTACAAGGCGAGACTGCAGATAGAGGATAAAAGATTTAGACGATAGAAGAGGTAAACCAGGGGTGAAGCACCACCCCCGCCCACCGTCGCACAAATGAGGGTGCCACCAACAGGTTGACCACCAAAAAACAAAAACAACAAAACTAATAAGAAACAAAATAACATAGTAATAAAAAAAAAAGCCAACCGCACGACAAATAGAAAAGGCAATAACAACACAGAAACCACCAAGCCACAAAGCCAGCCACCGAAAGAGATAGAGCGCTAAAACAAAGCGAGAGAGGGAGAGTGTGTAAACAGAAGAGGCGAAAAACGAAATACAAAAAGTGTAAAGAAAACCCCGAAAAAACCCACCTGAAAATCCCGCTGGAAAACCACTAAAAGCCCGCTACAAAATGTTACAAAACTCGAACGCTGCCGCCGCAGCGCATTCGGCAGCGCAGGCGGCCTCTGCGGTGGCGACTCCAGCAGCGGCCGCTGCAGCGGCATCAGCGGCATCCGCAGCAGCTGCTGCAGCAGCGGCGGCAGCGGCAGCAGCGGCCAACAACGCGGCACTGGCGGCCTCCTCCATCCAGCCGAAGCTCATCGTTATCCGCCGGCGACCTAACCAGGGATACGGCTTCACGTTGCGCCACTTCATCGCCTATCCGCCGGAAGATGACCAGGCATCGGCGGCAGCATCTGCATCGGCGGCAGCAGGAACGATGTCGTCCAACTGGCCACAGGTGAGTAGGGACTTTTGGATTTAGGATAAGAGATGCCAAATAAGGGACTTTTACAGATACTGAACAGAGGCTACAAGATAGTGGATTCGTCGGGTATAGCAACCCAATATTTAGAGGTGTTAGGATAGGATAATAGTTCAAGTTTAATAATAAGTTTAGATGGTATACTAATACAGTGATATAGTCGATGACCTAGGATTTCTATAACTGTAGGTCCTTTATAACTCTAAATGCGAGTATACTTTAAATTAACCCTTTTTTTATACGACTTTTATAAGACTTTCCATTAAATCTTTGAAATCTTTGTTAAAATCTTTATAATACCTGCAGTCTTTCCGCCAAATTTACACTCTTTCTCTAGTTAAACTTCTTTAACTGATTTTTAATCGTTTGACTCTTATTAAAAATTGTAAAGTTTTAAAAATTTTAAATACTTTTAAACGTGCAAATAGAAGTTAATTGCCCGCAAAGGAAGTGCAAATGAGCGAGCTGGAGTTACTCTCCCGCCTTTCTTTCGCTCTCTGGAGCTCAGCAAAGGTGCTGCCTCTGCTTCGGTCGGCGTCGGCGTTTGGCGTTACGTGAGCGCTGCGCACGCGCGACTTATTCAAATTGCCGCTTTTGCTTTTGCCTTTTCTGCTTTCTTTTTGCTTTTCATTTGTGCGGCGGTGAAGATACCCAGCAAGAAAAGTTCGCTAGGGGTGTTCCGAATATAAGCTAGCTGATCTCAAAAATATCAAGAAAATATAAAAACTATTTAAACTAAGCTAATTTTTACAAAATTTGAAATCAGAAATACTAAAACCTTTTACTTTTAAATTAGGAATACGAAGACTCAAATATTGTTTATTAAAACATGCGATCACACATATAGTTTACTAATTAGCTGTAATCAAAAGAAAATAATTGAACTTCTTAAATAATAATTAAGTAAATAAAACAGAAGAGATTATAATTATAAACAGTTCCAGTTCTATGTTAGGGTACTCCCAAGTCGGTAGAGCCTCCATTCTCTTTTTCTTTTATTTTTATTTTTGCACTAATTTGCGTTTTGCTCACTTCACTTTTTTGTGCCCGTTTTATTTTTATTTTTGTTGATATTACAACCTCCGCTCGACGCTCTCATTCACTCCCGTACTCTCTTTTCTTCCTCACCTTGTCGCTCGCACAGCGACTTAATCCAATCTACACTCTCCTCGCGAAATGTTGTTTCACGACCTACAGTCGCGTTCAAAATAATAGGACTTTGTAATTTTTGATTTTACAGTACACTCTGAAATAAAAGCTTCTTTATATTAATCTCTTCATCACAATTTCACCATATTAAATAGGGGAGTTGTAGTATAAATTAAGAAACCTTAATAAATATTGGTTATTAATGAAATAAAATGTGAAGTTTTTAGCTATGGTTGCTACTTTAGTTTACTCACCTCAAGTGTACATCTGACTAACAATTTTTTTTTGTTTCGGTTTCGTTTGGTGTGTAGGAAGCCTCCAGTATGGCCGGCAGCAGCAGCGGCAGCAGCAGCAGCGTCGGCGTCGCCGGGATCACCGGTTTGGAGCCAACGTCGCCGACGTCGCTGCCGCCGTACCAAGTGAAAGCGATGGAGACCATTTTCATCAAAGAGGTGCAGGCGAACGGACCGGCCCACTACGCCAACCTGCAGACGGGTGACCGCGTGCTGATGGTCAACAACCAGCCGATCGCTGGCATCGCCTACAGCACCATCGTCTCGATGATCAAGCAGACGCCGGCGGTCCTCACGCTGCACGTGGTGCCCAAGGAGTGCGATGTCCTGCAGATGGTAATAATGAATATCTATGAGATATTTTATAACTTAAAGTGTGTGATAAATAATATCAAAGTTGTGGTTATAATGAAAAAGGAAATAATTTATCAGATACTGATCACAGATCATCTCTCAAAAAATCTCTGAAAATGCTAATGCGAGTGCTTAAAAAACATATAAAAAATAGGCATTTTTGTGACTCACTCTCAGTGTCAAAATATTTCTGAGAAAGTCAGCCATATCAGCCATTTATGGCCCAAATGTGATATCACCGTGTGCTGTGACTATTTCTTTCGAATATTGATTTAATAACTCAATACAGAGTTTATAAAATGTTTTTCATAGCAAATCGATCGACTGTGGTGTTATTATATCGAGAAAGGCAAACCAAAAGCCAACCCCTTTGTTAAGCAGTATTATTTTTTTAAACAAATGTGGCGAAAATTGGTAAATAAACGATAGCTTTCTGTGAACTCGACACATTTGCCCTTAACCAGTGATTAATAAGAGTGATTAATGATCTGTTTTTAAGGCAGTAATAAGGCATTTAGAAAGCAATGACAAGTTAATTAATACCAAGCTAAGGGAGTTGGGCTGTCTCTGTGATATTGAGATTACTTGTTTACGATTTAAGTTTGAAATGGCTTTAAAACTAGTAATCGAGTATGTGACTCTTATTGAAATACACCCACTGTATAATTTGTTGTATTATATTATCATCTCTAACTTGTTTTCATTCATTTTTGTTGCTTTTTTACAGCACTATACGAGCATTGCCCACACGCCGGAGTCGAATCGCCTGACCATGTCGACGCACTCGCCCTCGCTGCTGGCCAACGGCTCCCACAAGACCACATTTCCAGCAGCAACACAACAAGCAGCAGTAGTTGCAGCACCATCGCAGCAACATCAGCAGCATCATCAGCAGCAACAGTTGATCTCATATCCCGCTGTTGCAGCCGTGACCACCACATCGCCGGCAGGATCGCCGCACTCGCATCCCAACTCCCATCATGCACCATCCCTGCACGGAGGCAGTCGATCGGGCAGCATTACCAGCACGGCCAGCGCAGGCATTACTATCCTGAGTCACCAGTTCTACCCACAGCAACAGCAGCATCAGCAACAGCAGCAGCAACAGCAACAGCAACATCGTCATCCGGCGCTGACTGGCGGCAGCAGCAGCATCGATTTCGGGGACATGGCACATGGACTGCGGCAACATCAGCAGCAACAGCAGCAACATCTCTACCAGCAGCAGCAACATCATCATCAGTTCATGCGGTAAGTCAACAAAATAAATGAGCTCACCTTGGCGAACGACGAACGGCAATTGACGTCACACACGATGGCAATTACAGCGGATTTTCGGATTTCGAATTTCGGAAAAACAAAAAATAGCACACAATTTTACACCGCTTTGAGATCTACAAACAAAATTCAGTGTCTTTATGCCAACTTGCAGTTATTAAATTAAACATATGAAAGGGTTTTGAGAAGATTTAGTTTGATTGAATTAAATAATAACTTTTTGAGAAAGGAGTATTAATACTACGAACTTAAATAAGATGCCAAGAATATAAACCTCAGTAGCCCTTTCATATTTGACATATCTATGAACAAATTCAAGAAGCCAAAATGTGAATTTTCTTTTTCAATCTAACCAAAACCAAAAACCACAAATGACGAGACAAGTAGATATAGATTAATTGTTTGCTTTGATCAAACAAAATTTAATTTAAGTGCATGACTAACAAGAAAATTAGATGCCAGAGGAGGGCAGGATCTCGAAACCGTCCAGGTACTTGGCCAGGGGTACGGCCAAGGAGAATAGTCCGTAGCTCTTGATAAAGGTCCAGCAGAAGTGATCGTTGTAGATGATCGTCAAGGAAGAACGCACCATTCGCAGCAGCCGAAGCGTTTTGTTTTTCTCAGCCATTATTGCGCTAGAGAACTACCCGAGAATAGTGAGAAACCGAAATGATTAACCGATAATGTTAGATGAGGGGAAAACTCACAACTTACACTCGATTCAACGGGGAAAGAAAGTTAAACTTTACTGATTTTTTTCCAATAAATAAAACTTCACAGAAATTCAGACGTGTGTGCTCTCTAAAAACTGAAACAGAACTGAGATCCTTCGACTCGACTAGTAAGCACTAAAATCTAGGGCAACTACCTTTAAAAGTTAACACAATGACTCGAAAATTGAGCCTACTTGTGATGGAAATTATTAATAACATCAAGCTTTCTTTATTTGAGGTGAAAATGCAGTTTGCTCCACTGTCCAGTGGCGATCTGTTGTGATTTATGGTGGCAAAAGTTGAGAGGCAGTCAGTCTTCTCTCCTGTCTTTAATAGCATATGCATATAGTATATAGCATGCAGTATCTGTGTATGCATATTGCACATTATTTCACTTTCATTGCCAAAAAAAAAAAAAAAAAAAGAAGAAACAAAATCAACGAAATAAATAAGTGAAAACCCAATATTCAAAATTGGAAACGAGAAATGCCGAACGATTAAAAGAGGGGGTGGCTGTGAGAGGAAGGAAGAGCTGCAAATGAAAATTGAAAATGAAAATGGCAGAGATGGAAATTAAGCTGATGAACTAAATGACATTAACTAACCGCATAATGAACAGCGACTGGCAACGAACAATGCTCATAATTAAAAACAATTGTAAGCGAACTCTGTGCGAAAGGTTTTCCAGCCCCTCGAGGCTTTTTCGCTGTGTTTTCATTCGATCTCTGGTATTACGTTTGAGTTTTTGGGCTCTTTTTAAAACTACACTTTATATGTAAAGTAGTTTAAGTTAATGTTCCTATAGTTTTCTTTTTGTTTTATCAATTATTTGGCAGATTTTCCTGCATATTTGCCAAATGAACTTAATTTCAACTGTCGGCTGCCCGCCCTTCTGGTGGTCATTAATTTTTAGGTGAATAGAGACAATGATGACCCATCGCCCATCCATCTCCCATTTATCTATCTTTCTCAGCATTCGAGTCTATAATAAAACATATAGACCCAGAATCGGCAGACGAATGAATATTGGTCGCCATTGTGGCTACGCTGGGGCCTTTTCGGTGATTTCATCCTCATTTCCCCGCAGAGCCCCACTCCATGGCCCATCTCATCTGGCCTGGCTGGCGTTCTCATTTCGTACATTCCTCATTTCAGTCTCAGTCTCATTTCATTCATCGCCCGTCTCCCGCTTAAATTTCCATGCATATTTGTCATTGTTTTGCGTCTGTCTGTTCTGAATGAAAATTATTTTCCATATATTTCCCGCTGTCTGTATGGGGATGTGCAAAAATTATTTATTATTTCGTATTCTATAAAAAGTTCATGTGACGTCAGCGTAGAGATATTACATATAAATAAGTAAGTGTTTCCCTCTTCCTTCCATTTACCCCGACTTTTCCAAAGGTCAAATGCTAGAAATAGTTAAGGATTCTTATTTTTGGAGTGCTCAGGTTGAAGTTGAAATTGATAGGAAAAGTGAAAAACAAAAAAAAGGAAAGGGAAAGACCATTAGTTTAATTAGATTTTGTGGTTAAAAAAAAAACAAATGCAAGCAGTTATTTTATTATCTTTCTTTGTTTACAATTTCTCTTATTCTTTTTGGAAAGTTTGTCACGTTTTCCAGTTGGCTGCATGTGCAATTTTCAAATTACGTGAGTTGGATTGGGCCAACTTTGGTGAGCATCTGGAGAACTGTCAGTCGAGGGTATTGGTGGTACTCGTATACTACTATATACACGTCTTCCGTTTCCATTGACCAACTGGAAATTTCCCCCACAACAGACAAATCTTTTAATTGTTAGATAACTTCGGAAAACGGACAGCCAGACCCATGGAGTGATTGATTATTGATTGCTTTTCATGTGAACACTGCTGGTTACCTAATTTACAATGGCAGAATAATGAGTAGGGCCGAAAATTGAAGTTGCCTAAAGATTCCAAGGTTTTCCGCTATTGAGAAAGTGCAAGTTTTTGTGCAACTTCTGCGTTGAAGTCTCTTTTTTTTAGAGGCTAAACCTTGCTAAAAGCCTCGAGGCATATGTTTCTGCAACCGCATAAATTATTGAGAATTATTTTAATATTCCAAACGCAATACCGCACATTTTTCAACACACACACACACACATACCCCCTACGGTCGCATTGCGTATACGCAGCGTTGCTGCACATGAATATGAATAAATAAATCAATTATTGTACAGTAACAACAACCCATTGACTAATCGGGCTGGAAAAAATATTAAATAAATAACCGCATAACTTTATGCACACTCACACACTTACAACGGGCGGGTGTAAATGGACACCAAGCAACACCTCGCAACAATAACAATAACAATAAATTTGTTGAACTGCAAAGCAAAGGCGAATATTTGCCCCATTGTTAAATGATTACGATAAATTTAATTGAATTTTGTATGCCAGCAAAGAATGGGAAGGGAATAATGCCTTCAATTCCCGCAGACATCAAGTCCTCGTTTTCCGTTTCCCTCTTCTCGCTTCTCGCTCTCCTCTAGCCCCTCTCTCTCTTTGGGCGAACGCCAGATTTATCTTTTCGAGATTAAGATGGAAATTGAGACGACTCAGATTGAGTTTGAGTTGATCTCGCGACTCGGCGGGCGGCGGCTTTATGTAAATTAATGACTACTCCAGGCATTCCAAACATGCCACTGTCTTGATATGCATGCACTGCAAAAAATATGTAGTATAAGTTTACCTAAAGGCTTTTACTTGCCTACATTTTGGCCCTCATTTGATCGATCGATTGATTGATCGTCGGACTGATGGATTGATTGATTGATGACTGGCGAAAAATATGTCATCGGAAATGCAAAACTCAAATTTTGGTGCGTGGCATTGCGCTTGCACAGTGGTTAGAGATTTTTACTTTGAAGTTTACAAAAATATTTAAATATTTGTTGGGAAAAGATGTCAATTTTTACTAATTTTGTTGATTGGTTTTTTAAGATATCTAAAAGCCTTTTCATGTTTATTAATTATTTTATTATGAAGCAAAGAAATGGGTTGTCCCACTGTGCATTGTGCAAATTTAACTACTTTGCTTTGACAATTACGTATACGCCCTGCGGTCGGGTGGAATGCTCTCTCTCTGTTTATTCCCCTCCGCCCACTCGGAAAATAAATAAACAAGGCAAGGTTAGTAGCAGGGCAGGGGGTTGGTAAGGGAAAGGGTGGAGTATGGGGCACGGGGTGTGGGGTGTGGGGTTATATATTTGGTCAGTCGGTGACTGATAGTGATATAGTGGTTCCCACTCGCTCCCTTTCGCCTGTCCTGCGCGAACTGTGGGCAGCTCCCTTCGCCCACTGACCGCCCCTCACTTCTTTTTTATTTGTTTATCTATTTATTGGTTATAAAATACAGTGGGCACTGGCATTTGAGAGTTAAGGGGTGTTCAAAATACTTAATGTTATATCATAAAGTTGAAGTTTATTCAACTTTCAGTTTTCAACTGCAATTTCCAGAGAGTTTACCCACAAAAAATATTAAAACTATTTACAAAATTTTAAAGTATTTAACAAAACAATAAGAAATGTTATCTTTTTGAATAAATAATTTGTAATTATCAAGAATTTTGCATATTTAAGAGGTTAACTTCCGTACTTTCTGCTCAAAAAAATTGTTTAGACGTCTTAAAAAGGATATGCAAAGTGTATAAAAAGAATTCCAGCTCACCTTCAGAGTGATCACTGTTTGGAAATAATAATAAAAAAAAAAGGGGGATCATGCGAGAGGAGAGCATCGGTCGGTGGGTCGTTCGCCATTCGGTCGCTGCCCACTCAATGGGTCTCTTTCAATTGCTGAGCCTCTGCCGCTCTTTAATACAAATTTCATACATGCATACAAAGCCAATTTTTGCTGTGTTTTGTTGTGCCTTCTTTTTTGTACTTTTGTATTTTTTTTCCTCCTTTTTTTTTTTTTTTTTTTTTTTTGTTATATTTATTTTAGTTTAGTCGCATGGACTTGCCGTAGTACTTTAGTTTAGTTGACGATGGCGAGCGGTTCGCGCAGATTTCAGATTTTGTGATACGCGGCAAAACGAAGTTTTTTGTAATTTTAATTTATTTATTAGCATATCTTTTAGGGAATCGTGAGTTAGTTTTGTGTCTTATGTTTTGTGATGGAGCCATAGCTTTGCTCTGAAAAACCCATACACTGCCAGAGAAAATGTATACCCTGCCCTATCATGGCGGCAAAAAGCCGATGCTTATACACATGAAAATGATACGTTTCGAGATCGATACCAGTAATGAAAACAACAGGTTAATTGCCCATTTTTTCTATCATTAAGTTGTGTTTTTTTTTCTTCTGTGTTTCGCTCTCTTTTAATGATAAAGTGTGAAGTAAAAGCCAAGCAATCTGAGAACAAGAAACCACAATTTGCAGAGACCTTGTCCGAAAAAAAAACGTACATTAGATCAAGAGTTCAAGTGCTTTCAATGAGGAGGCGAAGATCAAAGCCACCAAAGCGACTCCCTCGCCAAAAACTCTTTGGAAAACAAAGCCCACAATGAACGTGACTTGTGCTAGGGCTTGCCTTCGCCCTTGAAAAGGTTGCGATCGATGAGGTCCATCAGTTCGGAAGGGAAAAACAAAGTTGAATGTGTTAGGAAGGAAGGGATAGGGATTTCGTTTATATTCATAAAGAACAGAGTGACTATTTGATCAGTTTTAACATATTCCGTGGAGAGAATACTTAATAAGAATTACTTATTAAATCATAGAATATTATGTTTTTTAAGATTTATTCAAAGATTTATTATTTTTGAAACACATTGCAAACCTATTTGCAGTTTGAAATTCTCAAGACTTTCTGCACTTAAAGTTAAAAACCAAAAGAAAATTTTATAACAAAAATATATATAATGTTAAAGAGACATGCTTAATTCTTCTTCGATTTTAAGTGTTTGGTTAAAAAAACAGGAAACAATACTGCAAACAAATTTAATATTAAATATCTAGTAGGTGAAAATCGTGGATTTAGCGGAAATCACACACTGCGAGAAAAGAGAGTGGGTGTTTTTTTTGCGCTTGCTGTGAAGGCTTCTCCCTCTCTGTATGTCTGCCTCTTTGGCCATCTCGCTCTACTGCTCCCTGCGGCTTTTGACGCTTATCAAATGTGTCAACAGTTTTTTATTTATGACTTGTTAATTGCAAAGAGTCGCCAGAGTTGGCAAAACGCAAATCGGAGAACAAAAAATAATACAAAATGTGCCCACAGTGCATACAACGAGCGGACAATAAAAGCGCGAAATTCCGCACAGTGAAAGGGAGAGAGCTTATAGATATATATATATATATATAGATATAGATACGACTAATTCGCTGGCCGCCTTTTATCGATATGCACCAACAATATGCGATATATGTACATATAAATATATATATATATATATATATATGGGGGTGATAAGGGCTTTCGGGTGATGAATCAAATCGAATTGAATTGTATGCGAGTCACTTGTGTCAAAGCTTTTCTGCATCGTACACATATGCACTGTGAGAAATTTGAAATAAGTTTAACTTTTTGGATGTACCAAATATTAGTTATTAATACTAAGCTAAAAACCCAAACAATGTGGGTTTGAATGATAAATTCACTTTGCCACCATTTGCTTTTTCCCAACTTTTTCTCAAAGTGTAGAACCTATATATCGAATATTATATATAGAGCTTATGCATAGATAATAATGCCACTGAATACGCTCTCGCACACCAATAATAACACATTCATTTGCTGGGGACACGCGCTCCTGATCCCAAGTCTTTTCTCTTTCCTCTTTTTGCCATTGCTACCTGCTCTGCCACTGCACAGTGGGACAAACTCTGACTTGCTCTGGGTTATAAAAATGATGGCAAAAATACTTCACTATTTGAATACATAAATTTATAATGATATTTTGAATAGTTTTTAAATAATATATTTTTTGGTTTTTAATTTCATTTTCCAGCCTATTCCATAGAAATTATTTTTATGAACATTATGAAGTTGCCATGTCAGTTACTCATATTATCAAAAACATTATACAAAATTGATATAACAACAAAAGATAATAATAGTTGGAAATTAAACCGAAAACTTCATACTTTGCCCACTGTGCGCTGAAAGCTAGGCAATGGAAATATGGAAGTGCGAATATGTGTGCGTTTCCTTTATTCTGCGACCTGTGAAATATGATCCAGGGTTATGGAAGGGGGCGGGCGACAGGTAGTAGAAGAGAGTAGGGCCATCTATTCATTACCTTTTGACCTTGACAGTCTGCCGGGCTTTTGAGCCTCGAGTGTGGGAAAGGCTTTTAAAAGCGAATTGAATTAACCATCCTGGCACACACTTACAAACACACATACACATACACTGTCATTTACCATACTATTTTTAGCTTTGAACTTTCATTTGACAATCTCAGTCAGAGGCAGAGGCTGAGGTGGTTAGGGATAGGAATATAGGATGTAGGCTGCAGGCTGCAGGATATGGAAGGCCAGGAAATGGAGACATAGTTAAACTAATTTGCCATTTCTAGTGGCACCGCAACCGAGAGGCTAAAACTCGATACGCAAATGCCACTTCTTTGTCCGCCGCATGGAAACTTAATTAATCGAGCTGCTCTCAGCCACTTAAACTATGGCCCAAATCTAATTTGTTTTGTTTTCCTGCCAGCCAGCCAGCCAGCGTGCCTGTTGCCTTTGCTTTATTGAGTGCCCACTGTAGGTGGTGGTGGAAACACAGCAACAACAACAACAACCAACGACACAGAAAAATGCCCAAAACCGGTCCACAATTTGACATTTCCACATTTTCACATATCACAAAAGGCTTTTAGCCATGAACTTATACATATCTACTTGACATTCATGTCAATTAGGGATGTCAGCGGAAAATGCAGAAAATTTTTGACAAACGCGTGGGCATAATTGCAAGTTCAAGTTCATTCATAAATATTTTATAGATTTTTCATCAGCTTGTTAGGCTTCAGAATGCCAATTTCATAGTTAAGAGATTTTTCTATGCAGATTGAGATTGATATATAGCTCATAATTATGATTTTTTAACAAATTCAAGATTTGCCATTTAAGTAGGGAAAACTCTTTGAATGGGCGGTCACTGCTTGTTGCGCAAGTTGGAAAAGTAAAACTTTTTCCTGCTGAGCTGAATATGTAAAACGCATTGTTTAGCTTCCTAATTTCCCTCCCGCTCGGTTGGTCATGGTTGGGTGCGAACAAAACTCCGATTCATTGTATTCACACAAAAGTTAGCATCTAGCAATGACAGTTATAAATTAGATCAGCAGTGAAGAAAGTAGAGTTATGAAAACTGTTTTATAATGTAAAATTAAAGAGTTTCAGCCCTAGTCTGACTTTGACTAGTCTTACCACTGAATCCCAACTTTCTTAGTGATGCTGCTGATTGGTTGATTTTAAGGCTACCAAACGGAAGCAAAAATAAACTCGATTTAAGTCCAATAATTGAGTGTTTTTGAAGGAATAAGAATAGCAGTTAGCTATAGATTCGTTTTCCGCAAAATAGGGAATGGAATTTGACTAAAAGTCCGATGATCGTGATCAGCATAGGCAAACGCGAATATTGCGCATGCGCAGAGTGTGACGACAGCGAAGGGGACGCTCATTGAGTGACTGATAAACTGATGATGGCACGTGCCATCAAAAAGTGGGAGGTACTGCTTTTGGCCGTTTGCCAATTTGGAGCTACTGCGTCTGTCTATACGCCACCGCCGCCGCCGCCGCCGCCGCCGTCGCTGCTGCTGATTCAATTGACAAATATTTTTGTTTTGCTAAAAAATTAACAGGCCACAAACAAACGTCTAGATCCGCCAACAGAAGCACTTTTGCTCGATTACCGCCAGGCAAATAGAAAGGCATTCCGTCGATTTGAGTGGCTCAACCTTTGTTTGCCAGTGTAAATAGTGAAAATTACATTAATTCGCTTAGTATATCAATGAGATTGTGTTTTCTTTTGATCCCAGTTGAAAGTTTTCTTGGTAAAAACACCGCCAAGTTTGGCTTTTAGATATATCTTCTATAAAGTGGCCGTAAAGCTATGCTGCATGGCTTGGAGCAAATTGGCTGCTACACTTTGCCAAAGTTTAGGTATTTGAAGTTAAATTGTGGTTTTATTATTATAAATTAATCAATACTTTGAGGCTAGACAGCTTTCATAGAATGTTTTTAAGTTTTAGAAACGAAAGTATAATTTTACTGGACATATCTATATCAAAAACCATTAATTAAGCCATACTATATAGTATTTATCATATGACGTCAAAACCTTAATTTCTTAATAACCGAATAGTGTTTGGTATGTCTATAGCTATTGGAATATAGCAATATAGATTCCTAATAAATCTGATAAAAAAAAACAAAGATAACAGAATTTAAGTTTTAACTTTTTGTTTTTATCACATTAAATTCTTATCAAATATTTGTTTATTTTCGGTTTTACAGTGCCAATCAGCCGCCAAATTTAACAGTATTATCAGCCAGCTCGGCAACGAACACGCCCACACCCACGCCCACCGCCCGCCAGCCCAAATCCTCAACGGTCCTCAGTCAGGCATTGTATGCAGTCAGCGCGGAGCACAGTTCAGCTGCCGGATCTGGCTCGGGATCCCTTTCGGGTGGCAGTGAGAAAAGCGACCTGATGATCCGACTGCGTGAATCGATCAAGCAGAAGGAGGAGTTCCTCAAGTCGCCGGTGCCCGTCTCTCTGTCCTCCGCCTCCACCTCCTCGACCAACGGCAATCAAGCGCAATCCTCTTCGCCGGCACAGCAGCAGCATCTGCAGCAGCACCAACAGCTCTTCTTTCCCTCGCACACGCCGCCAGGTGGTGTGCAGGTAGTGGTGCCTCCACCACGCAGCCGCCATCAGGTGCTACTCAAGCAACAGCAGCAGCAGCAGCAACAGCAGCAGCAACAGCAACAGCAACAACAGCAGCAACATCATGTTCTTGGCTACGAGATGAGCTACCCCGGTGGCAAGCTAGTGCAGCGATCTTCCACGGCTCCCGGAAGTGTGAGCTACCACCACCAGCAGGTGCTCCACCAGCAACAGCAACAGCAGCAACATCACATCCACCAGCAGCAGCAGCAGCATCGCCAGGTGATGATCAACAACAATGCCAAGTATCCCAAGGATCTGGACTACTTTGAGACGTTGCAGGAGACAGGAGTCACCAATAAAGTGTAATTAAACTAAGATAGCTTACCCACTTACGATTACCTAATATACATTCTCCCAATCTACAGTTTCGAGCGCAAGTTGGTGTCGCACATGTCCAAGGGCTTTGATCCGTTCAAGCCGCTGTCGATCAACACCAGCGCCTTGGAGTCCTCCGCCAGCACATCGAGCACATCGACCACGACCACCGTGAAAAAGCAAAGTGTGCTGTACGAGTCCCTGCAGCAGCATCCGTTGGCCAAATACCATCAGACGCAGCACCAGACGACGACAACGACGGTGGATGGACAGACAAGCAGTCGGATGGAGCTGCACAAGGCGACGCTTGCGAATGCCACCATCGATCCGGTGCCAGTGGGATCCAGCAGTGAGTCAAGCCCTTGGATCTATCTTAAGTTTTGCTTAGTTACTAAACAATGATCGTATTTTTATATTTGGTGCAGAGTTTGTGGCGTTGCCGGATAAGCCGCCCGCGGGTTCCTCCGTTGCCACCTTGGCGGACATTGCCGAGAGCAGTGGTAGGTCCATAGTTGCCTTGCGTAGTTTCTATACTAAGGCTGTCCTTGCACTAAACTTGCTACCACCTAGCTAACTTGCCATGTTAAATTAAGCTTAAGATTTTTACATTTTTATTCCTTAGTTACTATGACTAAAATTAGATTTGAATTCTGCTGCGTAGAAAGCATGCTAGCTCCTGCAATTAACTTGAAAATATCAACCTATTACGAATAACGAGTTGTTCTTAATATTTAAAACCTAATTAAGAGCTTATAAAAATAGCAATGTCCAGCGAAATGGACACGCACACGACTTTTTAGATTGTTATTAGAAATTTTTATCAAGGTCCCGCAAAACGTAACAGCTTAAATTGGGAATATTTTTCACACATACATAGAGAGTCCTCCGCACTAACGCACTCGGGGGGCCGGACTTAAATATTTTATTAAGTTTGTGGATGATATAAGCCGATAATCCATTTATTTTTTCGCCATATTTACAGCGGCAACCCTTGCGGACTGTACGGTGGGAAGCGGCAACGTTGTGCGGCGCTGCAAGCCATTATCCTCCAGCTCCTTTGACGAAGGCAAACCGATGCGTAGGATCTCCTATCTGAGGGCCACCAACAATGAGGCCGACTTCAATGCGGAGGCAGCAACGGGCGGAGGGAATGCCGCAGCGGCAGGATCATCAGCATCTGCTTTGGCATCCGTTCCAGCAGCTGCATCTGCATCTGCATCTGCATCTTCTTCATCCGGTCCAGCACCTGCACCCCTACCTATTTCGATCCCCATTCCGGAGGCTGCTGTCGTAGAGCCGCAGAAGACGAAATCCCTGGTGGAGGAGCATCCCGATCCCACCTACGATGTGATTGGAGGCACTGGCGGAGGCCATGAGTTTATCGAGACGCCAAACGGCCTGGAGGATGTGCGTCTATCAGCCCATGGGAGTCGCAGGGCCTCCATGACCAGCGACATGCGAAGCAGGTAACTTAGTTAATGTTATATTTGATAACTGGATTAGGAATATGTTTTTATTATTTAACAGCATCCACATTGATGCCGAGTTGAATGGCAAGTATGTGCCCAACGAACTGGAGGCCTTCGAAACGGAGATTGAGATCAAGTCCTCTTGCATCAATGGAAAGGTTGGTGGTCATCTTCACAGTCTAGCCAAAATATCTTCATTTTTATCTATCATTCCATTCACAGCGCATGTCCGAGTACCGATCGTGGCGTCAGGTGAAGCTGGAGATCAAGGGCGATCTGCTGCGCATCTACTCAGGCCGTCATGCCAAATCGGAGCACAATGTACGGGTATATCAATGGAATTATCCAAGTCTGATCAACTAATAACCATTTTCTCTACTTCAGGTGATAGAACTCGATATTAGAAACTTTAAGTTCTTCGACGAGTCGATGGATAAGAAGAAGTATTTGATCCGCATGCAGTCGAAGCCTTCGCCCAGTGGCGCCCATTTGGCCTCGCTGGGTAATGAGTTGAATCTGGACGAGGGTCACGAGAAGCTCCTGACCTCCTCAGGCAGCAGCAGTGCAAATGAGCCCACTGCCAACTCAGGCTCGGCCCTGAGCGCATCCACCTCCTCGTCCACATGCAGTAGCGTTCCATACACGGAAATCCTATTCAAGACCAAGAGCAGCAACGAGATGAAGCGTCTCTTCGGACTGCTTCAGTGGAAGGACAGTCTCAACTACGACGATAACGTGAGTGCCCACTCTGAGGCCACATAATCTGAAAACCATCCATATTAACTATTTTCAAATATATACCCAACAGGAGCATCAGCAACAGGGCAAGCAATTGGCGGAACCGCAGAAAACAGTGGCCAGCGCCAGCTACCTGGACGACGCCCAAGGCGGAGCAGCTGCAGCAGACAGTTCTCCATTGAGCTCGCACTCGGGTGGCATTGTAGAGGCTAGTGGCGTTCATCATCATGTTTCTGCCCTGCCAGCGGCTGCTGCTATTGTGGCGGCAACCAGTGACTCTATATCGCCGGTAATGAAGGCCAGAAAGTCGTCTTCGCACAAGCATATACCCGATAAGGACCTGGGATCGCCCAAATCAAAGAACTGGAAGGATTTGCTTTTCCGCCGTGGCGGTAGTGGCAGCGGTGGTGTGTCCCATAATGACTTGGCCTCTCCATCCGCCTGCGCAGCCAAGCAAATCGGTTCCATTGGCGTTCCCCTGCGCAGCTGTCCCATGTCAAAGGTCAACGCGTATGTACCACATTTAGTAGAGGTGTGCACGAACATTGTGGAGACGAAGGGCCTGGGCGTAATCGGCATCTATCGTATACCCGGCAACAAGGCGGCCATATCAGAGCTATCCGAACTGGTCAATACTAAGGACTTCCAGTTCGAGAGCTGTGCCACCGATGACCGTTGGGAGGATGTGAATGTGGTGAGCAGTTTGCTCAAGCTGTTCATTCGCAGTCTGCCGGATGCCTTGATGCCGGCCAGCTACTACATAAACTTCATAGAGGCGGACAAAAAGTTTGGCCTGGAAAGGATTGTCCTGCTGCGTGAGATTGTGGAGTCGCTGCCACGACATCCCTACGAGACAATGAAGCATTTGATTCGGCATTTGTGCCGAGTGAGCGGCAATTGCGAGGTGAATCGCATGGAGCCTAAGAATCTGGCCATTATCTTCGGGCCCTCGATAATCAGGACGCCGAACGATACTTTGGAAACGGCGGTCAAGGACATGAAGCATCAGTGCCGCATTGTTGAGTTGCTGGTCACACAGGTAAGGATCTGGAAATTGCTCTGGTGAGCTTTTCTAATCCAAATATTAACCAATTCCAGTACGACTATTTCTTCGAGGGAGGCAGTCTGCCCGATTTGGCCGAGGTAAGTGGCGGCTCTGCCGCCGTGAGCGCCGCACAGCCGCAGCAACAGACGCAGGAGGACCAGACGAACATGCTGCTGCACAACCTTTCGAAGATCGAGCGTATCACCGAACGGGAAACCACGCGCACCTCCCGATTCATGCCCCAGCTGAGGCGAAAGACCCATGGCAAGCGCAGTGCCGTTAACTCGGACACGTACTCCGGCGAGAGTGTTCTGGTAAGCGGGAGCTCCTCCAATACCACAACCACCACCACCACCACCCACACCACAAGTAGCACAAGTAGTAGCAACACCATCACCACAACCATCAGTACCACCACCATCCAGCAGCGACGGGCGCAGCGCAAGGCTGTGCAGAGCATTTGCGACCAGGCTCTAATCCTGCTCCTGCCCACACCCGTTTCCTCCGTCTCTCTTCCCTTTCAGTCGCTGGACTACGCGAAGGTATCCGCTTCGGCCTCGGCATCCGCCAGCAGTACCGCCAGTACCTCGAGCAGCTCGACGCTCCACAGCGGTGGCAAGGCATCTGCCTCGTCCTCTTCAAGTTCCACCACCAAGTTCAGCTCCTCGTCCTCGTCAACATCTTCGACCACGGCAGTCGCCGTTTCTTCCTCCACCTCAGCGACTACTTCCAAGTTGTTGAGCGCCAATTTCAAGAAGCGCAGCACGGGAGGATTCCTGGGTTCGAGATCCTCACATCAGACGCGCAAAGCCAGCTTGGATGAGAAGGACTCGGGTCAGTCGTCTGGCAGTCTAGGTCACAGCTTGGGAGTGGGTCTGAATCTGGCCAAGGAGCAGCAGCGCAGTAGCGTGGACATATCGATTCTCCTAACGGACGACGATTCCAGCAGCAGGCTCAGCGATACGGGTAAGGATTGGATGCGGTGAGATGGGAGGCCTATATTTACACCTTCGTAACTCCTTTTGCCAGGTTCCATGTCGCTAACGACCATCACGGACACGCTGGATAGCAAGTTGCGTAATTTGCGCAGCGGCTCCGAGTCGAACGATGAGAACGGATCGCCCGAGTTTCCCAAGAACCGACGGCACACCTTGGGCCAACCACTGCACCTGCACTCTGAGAACATTCCGTATGCGGACGAGTCACCCGAGCGTCTGTTCCATCAGTTTTGCAATCCCCTGGACGCGGCCCCTTTGTCGTTGCACCTGAGCCGCTCCTGCACAGCCACCAATACAATTGGTGGCGATGAGAAGCCATCGAAACAGTCAGGCGGAGTTGCCCCACTGCCTCCAAGTTTGCTGAAGGCGGCGCATAAATTGCAGCACTCGGCCACGGTGCCCATTCATCAGGGAAGTTCTACGGCGCCGACGAGTGGTGCAGCCACACCCATTGGCACGCCCACTGGGAGCAGTGGCGCCGGTGCAATTCCCTCACGCAGCTCCTCGAGCAGTGTCACCACGCTAACCAAAAGCATGCATCCCAGATTCAGTAACTATATGAGCTACGAGAGGAGCAATGCGTCTGCTGGTGGAGCTGATAGGGCGGTGGGATCCGCTGGAGGAGCTGCCTCAGAAGACGATTCCGAGGGATCCACCACCAGCGATCCTAAGGAGAAGCTGCTGCTTGGAGAACGTCCGTCGCCGTCGTTTTTTCTCGAGCGCTACAACAAAAAGAGACGCGACCATCGGTTATTTCGGAGTGCCAGCTTCAATTGCCGGAACTACTCCACCCGGCACATGACGACACAATCATCCGGCGGAGGATCGGCGGGAGTATCGGGCGGAGTAGCTGGACCAGTGGCAGTGGGTGTGGCCTGTTGCCAGGCTTTGAGTGCCACGGGCTTGACAAAGGACGAGAAGACTGACATGAACTTGACCAAGAAACGCCAGATCCAGAACAAGCAGAATCGCTCCATTAAGCGGCGGCACACCGTGGGCGGACCACACGACTATTCCGCCAGCAATGGCAGCTGCTCGAATCACGCCTATGGTCACGATCTGGCGGCCATAAACTACAATCACCACAATCGGCACCATCAGCAGCAGTTGCTCAAACTGGGCAGCGCTTCATCCGGCGGCGGAGGCAATGGGGCAGCTGCGGCGGAGACGACGACCACCACAACAACCACTACCACCGTGCTGCGGCGCCTTGGAACAGGTCAAGCTGGCGCCGAAGCCAGTGTAGCATTGCCTGGATCTAGTTCGGGATCCAGCAGCAATAACAACAACTCGCCGCAAAGCGATGGCAGCAATGGCAACGGCGGTGGAGTGGCAGGAGTGGCCTCTGGTGCACCGCCATCTGGTGTGGTGGTGGGTGGCGGCGGCGTCAACAACAGCAGCGGCAGCAGCAGCAACAGCAGCAGCACCAGCACCACACCAGCTGGCAACGGGGATCAGGTCCTAGAAGTGGGCATACGCATCAAGAACTTGAACCGAGGTCGCTTCTAAAAATCTCGATCTCCAAAAACTAAACGTGGTTTAAACAGTCTGCTTAACTGAACTTTAAAGAACGCAGTTTAAACAAGAACTAAAGCGGCTTAAAACAGTCTACAAAATGAACATTATAAAGAAGCTGGTAAAAAGCGTAGTTATATATCATAATGCAGGTTGCTGCGATGAAACCACTGGTTAGATCCCACTTAAGAACCACAGTTTGCATGAGTATTAACAGGGTTTAATATAAAAACAAAAGCGTAACAAGAAGATATTTAACAATAGTCTGTTAAACACACAAAAGCAAAACACACATTTTAAAACCAAAAGTTTAAATGAATGTTAACCTGAGTAATGTTGCTAAAAAAAAGAAAAAAGCAGGATCCTAGTAGCAGAGTAGCCTGGCTTCAGCCCAGCTCTTGTAGTTTGTTTTACCAAAAGGGCCAAACTACGTTTAAATCCGATGAGTGTTTGGCTATGTAACTTGAAAAGAGCAAGAAAACTTGAAGCTACTTCGATTCTGTGAAGAATAGTCATCATAATCTATATTACTAAATATCTATATCAATGTGCAGTTGGGTCTTAAAAGTTAACCAAAAGGAATGTAAGAAAGCAGTTGATGGCAAAACAAATCAGAAGAGCAGTTAAAATACGTATTATCACATATTATATCACGATATATTTATATATTCATGTGCAGATGCCCAGGGAGTTGTGTCCAAAAACCTATGAAAACTGAAAACAAAATCCTATGAAAAACCAAGCAGACCAAGAAAGACCTGATAACCAAGTGGTGCATTCAAAATATTAAAGTTGGCAAAGATCCGAGATCGAATTGCTTAATGCACTGTAAAAAACAAAAAGAAGAGTCACAACTCCCAGGGAAAACAAATCTTAACAATGCAACGCAGAAGAAACAATCTTAGATGAAAACTAAACCGAGGGCAGGAAGAAAATTATTCGCACACACAAAATACACACAAAATAAATGGGAACCAAGCAAAGATCTGGGTGGAGACAGAGACAGAGAGAGACAGAGATATATATAGTGGGGGACAGAGAGAGATTATTATAAAGGGTGACAAAGAGAGAGAGAGAGAGAGGTAGAGGTAGAAAGAAAGAGAGAGAACTATTTTGTAAAACGTATACAACACAGAATACAGAAGAATCGCATAAATAACCACCTAATGTATAGGAACAATCGAAAGTGTCGCCTGTCCGGTCGTTTTGGACGAGTCCCTCAGACAACAAAGTTGTGTTAGGTCCTTGATAAGGATAATATTTTTTCGTTTAGTTGAGAGGTTTTTGTTTTGTTTTTCTTGTGTACCGGTGTACCTGCTGTAAAAAAAAAACAAAAAAAAAAGAGAAAAAAGGAGAAAATCCGTAGAGAAATCCCATTTTTGGTGCCTTAAATTATTTGCTTTAAATTCTGGAAAACCTATTTTTCTACCAAAAACATTTTAAACTTTTTTTTTTTTGATAAACAAATTTTTTTTAGAATGCAATTTTGGGCGGTGCTGCAGGATGTGCATGATATATATATATATATAGGTGCAGCTATAAAGCTATATAATAGAGATATATATTTATATTCCGCACACAAGCTGATGTCCTGGCAGGCGACCTAGAAGAAGGTTTGATCGATAGAGCGACTATATGTCTACCATATAACGCACGAGGAACGGCATAAATTTACATTTACATATATAATATTATATATTTTTGTGTAGTTTGTATATGATTTAAGTTTGTCAGAAACAAGAACGCATCAAGGTACATGCAAACATTAATGATTAAGCAATTAGATAGTAGTTGTATAGTATTCCTCCCATTTTTTTGCTGTATATACGATTTAATTTTTTTGATTTTATTCACGATTATAATTTAAAACACCGACCCCAACCCCAAATATGGATATATAAAGGATTATATATTTTTTACGCATTTTGTTTTGTTACCCGAAAGCAGAAACAAAAAAGATAAAAAGAAAGAAAGAAAGAAAGAAAGAAAGGTATATAGAAGGAACCCCAAGCGCGTAACGTTGCTATATAAATATTATGATTAACTAAAAACAATTTTTTGTTAGACTTTAGGTAGTTATTTTTTAAAAATTGTATTTTCTATTATACATGTATACATCTATAAATATTTTATTTGTATTATGATTTTTTTTCAAACAAAAATAAATGTGGATTTTCTATAATGCTATAAACGACGACACAATAAAAAGGAAACAACCAATATTAAGAATAAATTGTACAACTATAAACCAGAAACAAGTTGTTTTTTTTTTTATTTTCTAATATCTAATTCCCCAGCAATGATAATGATCTATGTACAGTATGGCCCGATGGATGGTGGAGCTTAGAGCTTAGCCTGTGGACCCGTTCCCGAAATCTTGTAGACGAACTCGTGGGCCACATCGTAGTGCGGATTGCAGCTTTGGCGGACTCTCTTCAGCCAGGCACGGATTTTGGGGTACTTGATCCTGACGTCATAGTCAGCCATGCCTAAGAGCCAAATTAAAGGTTAAAGTTTAAAAATCGTTTATTTTTCGAATATTTTTTTAGGGTAACTCACGTGTCTGTTCGATTTCGCAGGCTGCAAAGATGTCCGCCACGGTGAGAGTGGATCCGGTGAGAAAGTCTTTGCCCTCCAGCCAAACCTCCTCGACCACGTCGAGATTGCGCTCCATGTGCATGCGGAATGTCTCGATCTTGGCCTCGGAGGGAGTGCGTCCGGTAAGGAGCGGCTCCAGCCATACAGTGCGGAAGTACAAGGCGCATGTGAGCCGCAAGGACATGTGCTGCCACTCAAGGAACTCGTCCACGCGGCTCTGGTCCACAAAGTACTTGGGGTACAGGTGCTCCGGGATCTTTCCCTTGGCGCTTAAGTAGCGCAGAATGGCCACACTCTCTGCCAGCTTGTAGCCATTATCGTGGATGCAGGGCACGCGTTGGAAGCGGTTAATCTGCTGCTTGAAATCCTCGGTTAGGTGTTCACCTTGGGGGCAAAGACCGTGGTCAAGATAAGATTGCAACGCTTAACAGTGGGTCTGGGTGGGTTCATGGTTTTTAAAATGTAATCGTAGATGGGGACAAATCTTTTGGACTTTTGCAAAAAGGTCAACTTTTTTTTTAGAATTGATATGGGTTTAAAGTATTCTTAAAGGCATTGAAGAATAGATAATAGATATTACTAAGATAAGAAATTGACAAAAATAATAAATCAAACATCCATAAAGATTCCTCTACTAATCCTTAGACCAAGCAATGAGACCACCCTGACCAGTCATCGTGAATACCCTTACCATTCCGTAGAGCCACCACGCAGTCTTCAAAGGGCATGTTACTCAGCCGGAAGATAATGAACAACGCCCTCGAGGGCTGTGACATCAGGTCATAGTAGTAGCGAATCGGGGCCGACATCCTCAGGTTCGTTGTCTGCCTGCAGGGGACTGCAACACAAATTTTGCCATTACATTAGATTAGTAAACAAAAAGCCGCTGGTCCAAAGATCATCCTCGATGAAAGATGCATGAAAATGTAACTAAAATGTGTATGTTGAAAACCCATCGAACTCACCACAAACGCGGTCAGTGGACGACTGAGGCTAAACTATTGAGCTCCGACTCAGATCGGAATCGGAATCAGCTGGCTGGGCAGTTCTCAGAGAATTATGAAGAGCGAGCTTTACGCTGCGTAGTTTATCAACGAAAAGCTTTTCTGGCCAATAGTGATGAGCAATGGTGTGAAAATCGCTCAATGGATGTTTTTTAATTTTGGAAAAGGTATTAATGGTAGTAAAAGTGTTTCTAAATAATAAACTTTTCTTATATTTAAGACAGATGTGTTTCAAGCCTTTATTTCCCCAAGCTAATATTTTAATCTTAAAATGCTTTTTGCGAAATAGTTAAATATGAGTTTTAGCAAGTGCCTAATAATGAGCCACAGTTTTAGTTTACAATAAGAGGTCTATTAAGTCATATTATGAATTAAGTTTAAGTTCCTCTTAGCTTTGTCGTATTTAAATCTTGTTTATTTGTATAAAAAACAAATAACTTTCCTAATTTAAGTTAATGTGGAATTTCCACTTACCACTGGGATTTTGTACCTCCTCAAAGGCCAATCGCAGCTGATCCTCGTCATCGCAAAGTCCCAGTAAAGTTGCCAAAATCGACATAGCGAGATCCGAACTCCTCGGAGTGAGACTAGGGAATAAATTGAGTGCTGGCTGCATTTGGCTTATATATATATATATTCCCAAGTTGTGGATGCTCTCCGATCTGACTTAAAATTCGAATGCGACTGCGACTGCGAGTCTAACAAACAAAAATAGAAGAAAATAAACGCAAGGCGAAATTAACTCTCAAGATAAGGCGGGTTTCCCTCTTTTTGCCAAATACACTTTAAAAATATTAGAAACCAGTTTTAAAAGAAATCGAATAAATAAACTTGACTTTTTTAAAATTTTATTGTATAATAATATCGGAAACCAATAAATAGGAAATTATATACCTCTAATAGTTAATTTAATTGCCAATAATCTTAGCTTTTGAAATAATATTTTCGTTTAGTTTAGTAAACCATTCCAAAACTGTTTAAAAATTTATAAAAAATGTTAGAACCTTTATGCAGTTTGTGTGATGACCAATGCAAGTCCCAATGTGGCTGCAACTTAGTTAAGTCAAAGTTACGAGCTGCTAAGTTAATGAGCTTGACATAAATGTGACCCATAACTTAATCTATTAAAACCGAGTATCCAAACGTTAGTTTTAGATATTTTGCTGAGTGTAACTGCGTTCCATTCATCGCCTGCTCGGCGATCTGCCAAATAATCAATCCAGTTCTTGGCCATTGGCAACTACGAGTGGCCAGGAATAGAAGCCTAAAGGAAGGTCCGTCTTATCGCCTGATAAGGTGATATTGTTTACTTCAAGTTTTTATGGTCTACAGGTAGCCATCAGCTGATGGATCCGGATCTATCGTATGTTCCAACCATCCGCCGGGGAAAACTTCAGTTCTGATTAGGTATATATCGTATATGTGTTATTTATTAATTCCATTTCAAACATACCGACATCATTTGCTTTGTACTTGTATACATTTATACTATATATATGTATATATAATCATATTCATAATCATATTGTGGGGGTGTATATATATTTGTAATTGAGATAAAGTGGAGCCGAGGTATTATCGTCTACCTCTTGTTTGCCCGGGAAAAGGTACATTTACAAAGAGTATAATTAAGGTATCAAGATAATCCACAACATTTATACTCGGTGTAGAGAGAGAGTCACACAGTGGGGGGAGAAAGATATACGTACACGCTGACTTTGCTTTGTAAATATATATATATATATATATAACTTTATCTATATGTAGACTTATATAAAAATAAAACACAATTAAATTTAAATCAAAATTAAAATGAATTTGGAACTTGGCTTGGCTTGGCAGCTTACACAGATTATAGACACAGAAGATCCGACGACTATATGCCGTCTATATATGGATACTTAAGGGTACTTGACTTATTGTTGACTTGATTGTTACACACAATTGGATATTTTTCGATGGTACAGAGTTTAGTTCGGTTTAGCTAAAAGTCGGGCTTACTTCGGAACTGAATTTGTGTGTTTTTATTTTTTATTAATATTCCTAGCGTGCGATTTGCTAATACAGTTGCCTCAGATCAAAACCTTAGAAAAACATTGATAGTAATACTGATCAATAGTTTCTTAGATTGATAATGATATCCGACAGAATAGGGGGTAAGGGATTTACAAACAATAGAGTTGAAGGACAATATACATCAATATCAAAGTTTTTGAAAAAGTGAATTAATCAATAAAAGTTCTTGATCTGAAATAACTGCTAAAACGCACTTTCTGTGTATACATATATTGATAATCTGATTTGCCACTTGATATAACGTGATAATTACATTGCACTCTCCCGACTCTATATACTCTCTATATACTAATTTGCGTGTTCCTGTATATATATATATATAAAGCACTGAAACACTGAAAACAAATTGTTCGAGTGCAGAGTGTGAATAAAAGATGTCTATACAGGTGTATAAGGATATCATATATAAGATTTTATATATATAAGATTTCATTCTTTTGTTCAGAGTCTTTTGCATTGGCTGCCCCTGTTTCGTGGTTTCCTCTATTTCTGGGGATATGCGTGAAGAGTTTAGGAAGAACTTACGTAGACATTAAAATATAGTAACCATTAGGATTACCGTTACAGTTCCAGGTTCAGTTAGTGTTTTCGGTTTGCATACAAATCTAGGTTAGATACTCGAGTGTTCTCTACATCGAAGACATCGATCGATACATACTTATTGTTTTCTTGTTAATCCGCTTTTTATCTTAGTTAGTTAGGGTTATCTTAGTGGGTTTTCGGTTATCTTTGGCAAGCGAAATTTGACTGAACTACCATCTAGACTCTAGTTTAACGCTCTACTTAGTTGGCTTCTTCTTAGCCATTCCCCTATTTGTTCTCGATGATCATCTGCAGCTGCAGGACCAGGCTCCTGGCCAATTGCAACACCGACTGCGCATTATGCCGCTCGGCCATTTCTGAAATCATAATCAATACTTGTTTATCTTTATAAGATATCATATCTATATTAACCAACCATTGAAGAACTTGATGACATCGGTGAAGTCCATGCTGTTTGAGAGGATGATGTCGCGATAAGTCTCCAGCAGGGCCAGGGCCAGAAAGAGGACGAAGTGGCCGGAGGCAATGTGCTTGGCCGCCCAGATCACCTCCCAGGTGGAGAAGACGTCGTCGTAGACGAGTTCCCTCTTGAAGTCCAGCAGGAACCACCGGTAGCAGAAGTAGAAGTGCGTGTAGTCGCCATTCGAGTCCATCAGATCGTACATCTCTGAGTCCAGGATCTGGATGAGGGATCTAAAGGGATCACAGGATTAGTAATGGAACCCATCATAACCCTAAACACTCACCTCATGTTGGCAAAGTGCATGTCCATGGCTCCGCCACTGGGGAAGTTCTCGATCATGCGCTCCATGAGCTTGCAGAAGCAGCTGTAGCTGAGCGACTCGTCGTCGAAGATGACCAGGAGGGGAGCCACCAGGTCGCACATGCCCTGCATGTAGCCCACGTCCAGGTGCTCCCACACGTACGTGGAGATCACATTCCTCAACTTGTCTAGGTTTTCATTCGCAAAGTACCAGTAGTTCCTGTCGCACCTCTGCACATCCTTCTCGATCCGGTGGAGATTCAGGCCGAACTGCTCCAGAAGCTCGCTCTGCAAAAAGATACAGAAGATGAAATCTTTGAGGAAGGGAAACCTACAAATGCTACTCACACTATAGACACCTCCATTGGAGCTGGCTGGTGAAGCGCAGGCCGACTTAGGTTCCTGAAGAGCATCCAGATTGACACCTGCTCCGCCAGATTCTCCAGCCTGCTCCTCAACGGGTGACATTTGGTCGCCGTCTCCTAATTTGGGACTACGCTCCCAGTGGGTTATGTCCACAGAGGCCTTGGTAATGATGACAGCTGCTGTGGCTGGTTGTGGTGGCTTCACTGCATCCTCGTCCTCAGGAAGCTGAAGATCGTCGGCACTCAAGTACTCCGGACTGAGGACACTGCGGGTGTCGCTGGTCGGCTGCTGATGGGCACCGCCAGGACCCACTGTCTCGTACGATGAGGCTGTGGATGTAGAGCAGCTTGGCTCTGGATTAAGCGGATCCTCTACCTTCCGATCCTCCTCATGGTCATCACGATCCTGATCTTTTTGGGCCTGCTGCTCGGTCTTCTCGTCCTCCTCATCCTGCTCGTCCAGCTCGTTGAAGTTCTCACCCTCATCCACATGGCCCGAATCCGTGCTGGTCTTCATGGCCCTAGGAATGGGCTTCACACTCAGGTGATTGCCACTCATCTGGCACTCCGCCTGCTGCTGCTGCTGCTCATCGAACTCCAGGTCTCCGGGATCGGAAATATCCGATATGTCCTCGAACACCTCGTTCTCCAGTTCGCCGCCCGCTTCGAGATCAGCTGCTCTCACGGTCCTCTCATTTCCGGAGTTACTGCCGGAACTCAATTTAGCCACAGCCCGTGCTGTCTTCTCCTTCTCCCGCTGCTGCACAATGGCGTCCACCGCCAGCCATTCGCTCATCGTGGTCTCGTAGTAGTGCTTGCAGGTCTCGTCCTGCTTCTTGCGATCCTCCGTTGTGGAACCGAAGGCGTAGTGACCCAGTAGATACGGCCACACCTCCTGCCGCAGTTCCGGTTGGACGCCCCCGAAGTAGACCAGGCGATAGAACTCTGTTGCGTTCTCCAGGACTCCGTCCACATTCAGCAACTGCCAGCGCTCCTTGGTCAGTCCCTCCTCATCGGCTTTCACTGGAAGAGCACAAAGGAATTCAGTTAGCTATCCCACAAGGTCCTATCTGGACAACTTACTTTCTGGCGTAATCCTGCCGTGCACCAGGCCGGACAGATGAGTTCGCACCGTGGAGAGATGGCGACAGTAGGCCAGCCAGCCGTAGAAGGCCCTCGAGATGATCTGCCTGCGCATCGTGGAGCAGACCATCTCGATGCTGGTGCTCTGCGCCTGGAGCAGCTGTTGTTGTTGCTGCTGCTGCTGGAGGAGCAGCGGCGACTCCAGCGGGAACTGGTCAATGGAGAGGCTCTTATTAGAGCAGTCGCTGCTGCCGGTGGTGGAGCAGCTGCTCAGCTGCGCCCTCCGCGGGGTGCTGCGCACAAAGTCCAGGATCGAGTGGGTGGCAGCTAAAAATGATTAATTAATTAATTAAGGTTTAAATATTTATTACAAAGATTTATATATAATATTGATAAGCTTTTAACACGTTATTTTCCCAGCTTATCACTCACCGAACTCCTCGTGGCGACTTTTGCTGACAATGCGGAAGACGTAGTCGATGGGCGTCTCGTCCACTGACTCCATCACCGAGGGCAAGATGCGGCGTCGCATGCTCCTGGGCCAGAGAAACATCTTGCCGATGCCTCGCTGGGACCACAGCGGTGGATCTAGCTGGCCGTGTGGCAGGAGACCGGTCTCCAGGCAGCTGAGGAACTGCTGCATGTGGCCACCCTCAGGAAAGTGTATAGGTGGCCGTTGGACGCCATCCTGGCCCACAAGGATCACAGTGCCACCGCTATCCTCGCCGCGACTCTGATGACAGTGGACGTAGACGATCTCGTCCACGTTGATATTCAGGGCATAGGCCCAGAAGGCGTCCTTGTCAATGTCCTCCGCCTCCTCGGCCTCGGTGTAGCCGTTCATCAGCTGGTTGGGTGTCCACTTGATAGTCAGCGTCTGGATGTGCTGGTGCAAGCTCAAGTAACCGGGCATCGGCTCGGCTACATCCTTGGGCAGGACATGCACATTGTTCTTCCCATAGAGCAGTGTGGCCTTGGCATTCTGATGAAGCGACTCCACATAGTCCTTGGCCACACTGGCCGAGGCAATGGACTTGAAGGATCCACTGCTGGCCTCATCGGAGCTCGTGTTCAGGCTCCGCTTGAAGTTGATGATCGCCGGACGAGAGCAGGTCGAAGAAGAGCGGCGGCATGAGCTGATCCGGTGTCGTTGAACCTGTGGGTTTATATAATTTTTTAAACAGAATTTATAATTAATTTGTTTATAATATTAAATTAATATTTTTGTTTTTACCAATTCATCTGCATGCGGATCGGTCCAATAGTGATCGGCTGTCTTGGCCCGCGTGAATTCCAGGGCACAGGGACCCACCAGCAAGGAGCTAAGGATGGATCCATAATCCGGATCGGCCACCAGGGAGTCGCGATCGTAGAAGCTGCTGGCATTGCTCACCAAGTACTCGATGATCTTGGTAAGACGCTTCTCGTAGAGAGCCAACCGAATCCACAAATATCTGGGTGGTAAGGAAAATTATAAATTTGAGAATAAATGAGTTCATTTTAAATAAATAAATATATTTTAAAGAATTTTTTAACTGAATTACTTGAGGTTTTTAATTCATTTATTAGAATTTAAATTGTATAAGGAAGTAGTCTGTTCGAAATATTTTTGTAGTCTCGTAGTTTTATTATGTCCTTTACGTCTTTTACTTTACTTTTACAACCGTTTTCCTCGAAAGTTAAAAACCAAGTTCCTTTACAATTCTTGTTCATCTCTCTCCCCGCTTGTCCGTGAGCGAGACGGATGTATATAAACGATCTCTTAAAGCTAACTTACATGATAGAAAGAGATAACAGTATACCAGGATCATATTTACAGTTAAGTTGGTTCTTACTTTATCTTACAGGGTCTTTCTTATACATACATATACGTTATTCTAAAAGTTTTACAGTGGGCCTAAACAGTGTTTGTCCTACTTTCTTGCAAATGTTTTCTAAATCCTTAAAGTTTTGTACTTATTTGAAAAGAAGTTTTGTATTCAAAATTATTGCGATATAATAAGATGTATTAGATATATTGCGATATATTTAGAATATTTCCAAAAGCAGGAAGTTTAACGTGATTTTCCTTAAGAATGTTTGCACTATAATCTTTGAAAAACTATCTTTTAACTATTTATTGTACTTTTTATATCATTATAATATAATATCCTATTAAACTTATTGTCATAGTTCATAGTTAAGTTAGTCCAAAAAGAAACTTACTTCATGCTGGCCAGTGACATGCTGGAGTTGCTGGCACTGACGCTGATGGAAGCAGAGGCGGAGGATGAGGAGGCCGCCGCATTGGTTCCGGCGGACATCGAGTTGCTGCTGCTCTTCTTGAGCATCGGCGGCCGCTGGAAGCTGTCGCTGCTGCTGGAGGATCGTTTACTCGGGTCACTGGCCTCGATCTCCTGCACCATTTTGCTGATGTGCTCCGCCTCCGGGCAACTTTTGGCAATCTTGTGGAGCAGTGCCGTCGTCGAGGAGGTCTTAAACAAGCCCAGGGCACGCCGGCGAAGACCCTGGCTCAAACAGGCTTCCACAGCGCCGCACAGTGAGGTCACTGAGCTGCTCTCCTCGTGGACGTACTTCTTGGTCACCGCCTCCTCCATCAGCTGCTTCACCTCCTTCTTCACGCTGGCTATCAGCCGCTCCTTGAAGTCGGAGCCATCTGGAAAGGAATTTGAAATACATTTGATTACATGGGTATATAAAAACAATATTAAATATTAATACCCATTCCTCGTGAAGTAAAAGGGTGTGTTGTATCGTAGAGAAGTAAATAAGAGGTAGAAGAAAGTCTTTTCGACCCTACAATGTATATATATTCTCGGTCAAGACCAATAGCTGCGTGGAATTAGCCAACATGAACGCTGAGATCAAAGAAACTATAAGAGGTAACTGAGATTATGCATGCTGATTCCTGAGGTGCCCTGCCACGCCTACTCTAGCGCCCACAAATTGCTATAAACTTAAAAGTTTGGTTTAGTTTGATTTTTAATTTCACAGATCAGAGCAATATTTCAAAATTTGTTGGGATAATAAAGTTACAATGCCCTAAACGGGCAGTGATGAAAAGATGAGTTGAGAAATGTGCCTTAGTACAAGGTGTAACCAACAGATGGCTCTTTCAATTTCAGATGCCTTTTTGCTGCTAGAATATTTAAGTTAAAATTGGTTAACAGAGTAATGGGTATCTGATTTTACAAAACACTAATTTTGCTTGAACTTTTCAATACGTTTGATTAGCTAAAATTTGGCTAAGTTAGTTAGTTACTAATAAATGTAAAAATAAATAAATTAATTTAATAAACTCTCAAATATTTTTAAATATTTCCTAAAATTTTAAAACCTTTTTAAACATTTCTTGAATTATTTATTTTATGGCAGAAATAATAAATATATTTTTTGGCAATTTCCAAAATCAAATGCTGAGCAAAATAAACATGTCAAAATTGCGTCGCAAAAAGGTGATAATTTCCGTCATAAAAACGTAGATACAGATAATCGCACTGATAAAAAGTGATCTTATCTATATTTATAAAGGTCACCGGTGACTGATAGTCAATCAAGCCAGAGCCTAGCACAAGTCCAATGAATACAGAAATTTTCTACATGATAATTGTGATTTTTATTTTTTGTAGTTTTAACTTAAATAAATTTCCATTTCCAAATATATATGAAAACTAACCCGTGTTTAGAGTTTGCTAACCAATTTCCGGGTCGCGGAAATTCGACCGCGGGGCAACATGAGTAATTTTAATGAATATAAATAATAGCAATGTTTGAGAAAACCCAGCTATTACATTTGGCCAGGCGAGTGGCAGGAAAAGTAAACCCCGCCGGGTCCTAAAATGAAATCACAGCGCCAACGCCCAGTAAACATTGACTCCCTACCCGTGTGACCATGTCCTGTGTATTATCCAGTATGTCCCGTATGTCCTGAATGTCCTGTGCAGTCTCTGAAATTCAATATGTCCAACATGTGTTGACTGCCGCCCCTCAAACACTATCCCCCAGCTGAGCTGAAATGCTAATGGCATTTGCACTCAAAACTCATGATGGCCTCCGGCCACGTATAATTTCATTTTCATTAATTGTTTTCCATTTGGAGCGACAGCCAGGGCTATCCGTGTATCCGTGGGTTGGCCAGATACAACAACCGGTCGGTGGTGGATAGGATACACGAGATACAAGTACAATTGCAGATACACTCACAGATCCACCGAGATGATGGATGATGAATAATGGGCGAAGGGCGAGTCAGTCCAATGGCCAATGGAAATATATGCAGATCGGGTGGCAGATCCGAAATGGACAGGTCATAAAACAGGCCAATGCAGGGCCATAAATAAACAGGAATTATGATCCCAAGATGAAATCTGATTAATTACAGATTCTAAAAGTTAAATGGTGATACTGAGATATATGTTTTAAGGAATATTTTTTGTAATAAATTTATAAAAAGAACAATTAGGGCAATATTTCTATGTAATTAAAACTTACTCTCTAACAGAAAAGGCTCTTAACTAGATCGTTTTGTTATTAGAAAGTAAACCTAAGCTGTTTTCTATTATCTAAACACTCTAAGATTAAACTAAATATTTCAAATGGAACAAAACTGATACTTAAATGCAAATTGCTTGCATTTAAGATGAGCTCAAGCTTTGGTAATATATTTCTTATATCCTCATTAGGGATCGTAGAAAAGCTATATCTACTCTGTATCAAATTGATTGAGGAATGGATATTGGTTTTTGAGTTTCCCGAATGCACTTCCCACTGGCAACGTAATGGCAGTCGTCCCACTGAGCTTAGTTCATTATGCTGGACTGTGGATGTGGCTGTGGCTGTGTGGCTGTAGCTGTAGATGACGATGTGTGGATGGGTATGGGATTGTGGATGTGGACTTGCTGGTGGGTATGTGGGTCTATGGGTCTGTGGCGACAACAAAGTGCTCGGTGTCTGGAACGCCGACCGCGTTGTCGCCAGGCAGTGTCCTTGGCGATGGGTGGCAATGTAGTAGTAGAGTAGATGGCAATGGGGTGGCAACAAACCGTTGCCCCGTTTTAATTGCTGCTCTTTTGTTGCACCATTTTAATTTTGCATTTGACACTTGTTGTTAGTTTTCTCCTCTATTCTCCTTCGCCCATTGCATGTAATTAGCATTTAAATGTTCGCAGCACGAGGAGGCCTTGGCAACAAGTTTTAATAACTCCATTTGCCATCAGCCATCAGCCATCAGCCGGCGAATGCAAATATGCTGGCTAGAAAGTGGAGAAAGTTCTTGCCCAGGCCATTCTCCATTCTCCATTCTCCATTCGGTATTTGCTATTTGCTTTTTGCTGATTTGTTTATTTATTTGTTTGTCCTGGCCTCTGTTGACGCGGCCAAATGAAAGTAAATAATGAAAGATACTCAGATAATTGCACAGTAAGAGTACATTGTACTTGCATAAACAGAGTGCCTAAATATATATTAAATATTGTTTCTCGAATAAATTTAGTTAGTAAACAAAACAAAAAACCTTCAATTTCATTTTGTAAAGAAGGGAGATATGTGGAAAGTTTTCCTCCCAGTAAGGTAGCTCTTACCAACTTTATCGACATTTCTGATGGCCACAAAGTTGGTTGGAAACCCTTTGGGATCGTCCAGCCGGAGCAGCATCATCAATGGCAAATGGATGGACAGAGGGCAGAAGCGGGTCACCTCCACAATGACCTTGATGAGCTTGACGGTCTTGGTCTTGGCCAGCGATTGTCCCGCCGGGAGAAGCTGTAGGTCAACACACACATACACACACACACACACACACATACACACACACAATAATAGGTGCAAGCAAGCCGTAAAAGCCATCCTTAAAGCTCACGGCGACAGTAAAATTTTTATGTTACCCACCGCAATCGGCAAACTAAATCTTTGGCTTAAAATGTGTCCAAGAATTTCCTCAGATTTAAATTAATATAAGTAGAAACTTAATTAATAAACCGGAAAACCATAAATACTTTGCAATAAATTGTTAAGAAAGGCGATTAATTGTTGGTGGTTATTTGATTTAAATTACTTGGAAATTTGGCAAACATTTTGCAGGGCAATTGAAGCTGCAATCAAAAGTGTCCAGTAACAAATTAATTACCCAAAAGTGGGTGCCCACCTGGCGTATGAGTAATCAATTGCTGAAGTGAAAGTGAAAATGAAAATCAAAATCCAAGTGGAGGAAGCCAAGCCGAGAAAATTCGTTTTAGAATCCCCTGGCCAATAAAAAGGAAACTCTCGAGCAACAGAATCCAGAAGCTCTACAAGAAAGAAACTTTATCAATTATCCTCAGAACAATCAAGAGCGAATTTTGCCGCAGTGAAAATCAATTTCAGTTTCTCCCAAGTTCAGGAAATATGCGAAAGCCCGTCCGCTGGGCTTCTTGGGTCCTTGCCTCCTATGAGAGGGCTCCTCTTCCTGTAATCGTAAATTCATTTGGCCCAGCAAATGGCAATTGATGGCTTAAACAGGCTCAATAACCATTTTGGGCCAAACACACACACACACACCGAAGGCCGAACCTTAATTAAGGGGTGCGGCAAATTGGGGGGGGCAACGGTGTGGTTGGCTATTCCTAGCGTTTTCTAGCAGCGTTTTAAATAAAATGTTTCTATTTCCATCGCCCCGAAATCTTTTGCTGTTCGCTGGTCCGCACTCTGTTCGTTTAGCTCCTCGATATTTATTTTGATGCGGACACGTATTTAGATGTTCCCGGGCTCTCGTCTAATTTCGGTTTTATGACCCTGCAACGCCTTTGTGGCCGTTACAAGGAGTTATGGCTCTTTAAATGGGTTCTCCTTGAATTTAATTCTAATTCAAGGAGTGTTTGCAAATGGTTTGCATTTCAAATACAGTTCTTGGTTGGATCACAAATAATATTCAATACAAAAGGCTTAGATGCTGGCAACTTTCGCCACTATAAATTTCCGTTCGAAAGGCCAGGCTGTGTTCGTTCAAGCCTTTTTATCTAAAATCAAAGTCCAGGCACGGCATGGCTGCAGATACATCTAATGGCCATCAAACTGACAACTATTTTTATGGAATTAAGATAAAGACTAAAGTGGACAAAAGGCAATGACAATGCCAGGGAGAGACACTTTCGAATCTGCAATAAAATCAGGCTACGATCTAAGCACAGCACAGATGTTGATACACTTGAAGAAAGTGAAGTGGTTAAAGGTTACTATATAAACACCTTAAGTAAATGTGTTAACTTTTCTTTGGTTGTTGAAAAGGAAAGCAAAAGTATTTTGATATCATAATTAAGTAAGTCTTTGTAATATTTTTACCCCCTATTTTAGGATATATTTTCTCTGAGTATATAGCTCATTACACGACCTCCTATCGGTTATATATCTGTGTGTTTTTTTTTGCGATGCGTGACTTTGTTGCTGCCTTTCTCTTGGATGTTTTGTTTGTTTTTTGGGGTTTGCTATCTGGCAGAAAATGTAGAAACACCCGCATAAGCAGATAACTAAATAAATAAACATCTATATACATATGTATATATATAAATATGTGTGTGTGTGTGTGAATAGAAACTGCGACATTAATTACAGTCTAATGTATTGTACATATTGTGTGTGTGTGTGTATGTGTGTGTGTGTGGTTTGGGCCCAACACGCAAACTG